CCAAAGCAGGGTATCACACTCCAGGCTACCAACACACTCACAACTAAGCAGCGAGTGTCAGTCAACAGCAATTGCACTCACTGAGCAGACGTGCATTTAAACTGAACTACTGACAGAGAGAGAAACTCAGGCCCTGTTCCTAAATGGCTAAAGCTCATTTCTCAGATATACACGATATCCCTTTAATCATCTGAACTTGGAAGCCAGTTCTAACAAGAGACTGGATAGCTCAAAATAAAAGGCTCCCTTAACTGCATCACAGAAAAATGCAAATAATAAATATTTAGAATATATTCGCTCTTCAGTGTCTCTAGTAGTTGAATCAGCACTGATCAGAAATAATCTCAATTCTGAAGCATTTGATTAGCAACGAATATAGAAATGGTCTTAGCAAAACAGGTGAGGAGGGGATATATTTGTCTTCAGTGCTAGTGCCACAGCTAACAGCCCAGCACAAGAATAGAAGGCACAGTGCCCACATTTCTGGCTGAGAGCAGATATTCCTTCATAAGAAATTTAAAAAGCAATGGTATAATTAGCTTGAATGACAATCCTATTAAGAGCTGTGTCTTTAAGCCTTCCTTAAACAATGCTGAAACATTTCAACAGGATGATATTAGGAAACAGCAAAATGCCAAGGGACTTTCAGCCCAGTTAAACAGAGGGCTGAGGCTGGGAGAAGGCAAGTTACCGGACTCACGCAGCCAGACAGTGGGATATGGGGCCTCCATGGAGACCACCTTTGGTTTCCCAAGGACTCTGTCTTGCTAGTCATGCTGCAGTACGTAACACTGCTTTGGCTACAGGTGTGTACTGCACAGGTTTCCCAGGTGCTGGAGGAAAACCTAAAGGAGATGAAAGCCCAGGGCAGCAACTTACTGCATGGCTGCATTCAAGTTTATTTGCAGCGTTATGACCTGTGTGCGGGTCTCATATAAGATATATTTATAATGGTGTAACATGCTGACCTTGAGTAAATCAATAAACACACAACTTTTGGTGGTTTCAGTGGTCTTATTTACATGCATAAATGAGGCTTATCCACAGCCAAAGCCTTTGAACTAGATTTTCCATATGTTTCTGCTATCATTTAATTCATTCTGGCTAAGAAGGAACAAGAAACCTCACAGCTTAAATTGATAATTTGTTAATGTTTCACATTGTACAAAACCACAAGCACAAAGATTAAAGAAGTACAAAATATGTGTTTGTCACATGATACAGTTAGCAGGAAATATTTTAGACAATTTTTCCTCAGAAGAGGCTGGTTCATTAAAAGCAAAGTTATTTGCAAGGAAATGTGTCAATTCATTTGCCATTTAAAAGAACAGAGAGTGTTTTGAAATTGCTCAAATATTCTATTTAGATATTTTCAAGCTGAAAAAGTTCTGGTTTAAAGTTCAAAATTACCTTTTTTTTTTTTTCTTTTTCCCCCAAAGACTAATATAGGTATGTAGAAAATCAAACCAAAATGAAATATTTCAAAATTACTGATACTAAATATTTAAGTTGATCTGATTCACCTTCCCCCAACCTTTATAAAATAATTGATATTTTATCTTTTTTTACTTTTTCAGTGAGGAGAAAGTTCTGAATCTTCAAAAAATTCTTGACATACATGATAATTATTTCTGATCCATCTTCAAGTTCTGTAAAGTCATTTCATAGAAATTTTTGAAGAATATTTTTTAAAAAATATCTTGAATATATCTTTCTTTCTCCTCCCTGAATTTTTTCATCATTGGGGATATATTTTTTTAAAAATAGTCTTAATACTAATGAGTCCTCCTTTTTCTGTGGCTTACTCTTCCCAAGGCTTTACTCAACGATTTCTAACATTATAGACTATTTTCTTATAGCAACTAATTATGAAGCCACAGACAGACGTCTTTAACTTAAGATGAAGAATAGGTATCTGGAAGACATAAGAAATGCTGGCAGAGATCCTGATCTACAAGAAAGTATTAAAATCAGCAACTCAAGTCCCAAGGCAAAAAAATGTTCTAAATAGAGATAAAATGCAACATAAAGCAGGGGTTTTCAAATTTTTTCTGGGTGAAATAGGGTGCATTGCACTTGCTGAACTCTGGAATACTACCAAAAACAAGGATATAGATGTTCAGAAAAGGATGTCCTTGCAAAACTGGCAATAAATAACAGCAACGGTATCATATATATACATAAGAGTTTCTCCACTCACAGTCATCAACCCACTGGCCTCTTATAAAATTGTACTCAGTGTCTGGCAGAGGTTTATACCACAGAAGGGTATTGCCTCAGCTGTTTTAAGTACACTGGACAGGTTTGTTGCACTTGAGGGGAGATATGTCCTTGGTGGCTTGTCTTCTGCATCTATCAGTCAAGGCAAGATCTTCACCATCCAATAAACTGCCTTCTTCATGCCCCTTGATGCACAACCCCAAAAGACTTTTTGACATCTCCCCCCGTCAGGTCAGCATTTTACTTTCCAACTAATAAGAATACGATTAATCAACAAGCACTCAAAATTCTGCAGTTACCAAGGACATAAAGCCCCCAATATTTAAATAATCTATTTTTTCAGTAAGCTACTTATTTTGTCTAACCCATCTGAGCTTCTATGAAAATTGACCCTTTACACAAAAAGGTTATGTACAAAACTGCAAGCTAGGCTGTGGGTCTGGCCAGGGCTGGTCTCTAACATGAATAGCCAGTTCAGGGGAGTAACCACTAACAAGTCTTAATTGCAACAGACTGTGAGTTAAGTGCCTAGGTAGTGTTCAGTTTACACATTTTCACATTTAAATGTCTGTATTTTTGTAGACATTTCTAAGTTTGATGTTGAATGGCATTTTGCCAGGAAAAAAAAAAAGACATAACAGTTGGGTGTTAAAATCCTACCTTCTGGGCAAACAGTGATTTAAATGTAATTTAATATTAAATGTATGTGCATGTGTTAGTAAATACATACTTGTAAAACAGTCACTGGTAACACAGATTTGAAGTCTTTATATCAAGATAGAACATTTATAATATATCCAGTCATTACAACGTAAAAAAAATGGTCTGCTCTACCAGCAGCCAATATTGCTGAAATCAGCATTTTCACTCTGAAGTTATTAACATCCTGCTTATTGATTATCATCTGTTTCATTGCATCCTCAAGATGCCCCAGGCACAGATCAGATGCCACGTGCTGATCTGGACCCTCTGTCTCAGAGACGTGAAAATGTTCAAGCCAGAACACTCTCGTTTACCAGCACTAGAACCTTACCGAGTTATTATGTTATTACGGACAAGAAGAATACATAGGACAGTTTGCTATCTTTACTACCAAGGCCGCATTTTGAATCCCTCACTGAATCTGTCAATGCTTTTGTAACAATTTACAATATTTCATACAGAAAAGTTAATCCAAATATTTAAGTATGGACTACATGTTAAGTTTTATATAAAAAATTATTTGATCTGAGCAGTTGTTTTTCTAACTCAATCTTCCGCAAAGTATTCCATTATTCACACACTTCAAAAGAGGGCTTCAATTCTGCTTAGTCAAGAAAGAGAGATTTAAATGGAAAAAGCAACTTCCATGCACAAAAGTCCAACTAAGAGGAAACATCTAGAAAACATTTAATTTACTCAATGTCAGTATTTCCCTAAAATAAAATGTTAAGTGTTAGACTCTCACTTGACAAGGAATGCTACGAGTCACATCTGTGGAAGTAAGTAAAAGAAATATATGCAAAGGTCAGGCAATATTACACACAGCAACTTAAAAAAATCTTCTCTTATTATTTAGCAGCCTGGTCAATAGTCCAAGACCCTCAGGCTAGTAGGTTCCAAACTTCATTTTTTAAAAAATTAACTGGAAGACATAGGTATCAGTAATTGGTGCAGTGCTAGAAGAAGCATCGTTAAGAAGATGGCAGGTACAGCATTCTTCCCTTGTGCTTGTTCCAAGCAGCAGTGGTAACTAAAACTTCTGGTGTTGCAAAAACTTTCTTCTGAAACAGGGATTTCATTTTAATAACAACATTGCCAAGGGAAATACTAGTTCTAACAAAATCAAGTGGATATTAGGACAGTTTGTCCTAAAAATCTATATTTAGCTAAATCAAAAGATCTGTAATCTCCTCTCAACAAGATTTTAAAGCCTAGCACCTTTTATGAATTTTGTTCTAATTTATTTTTTTCCAGATAGTTCAACTAAGGATGCATTATGTACGCTTATAAGTACAGAGTTTCTTCTGTTTTCTGTTCTGAGACAAATTAAAGGTCAATTTTCAGCATGTTATATTTTTCTTATTTTCTGAGTATTTACACATCTTAAAAATTAGGATAAAGGAGCTGAAATCTAGGGTTTTAGGGTAGCATTTATTTCACTGCACTGAAAACAAACAAACAAACAAAAAAGCCCAAACTTGCTGCATCTATCTGGTAGCAAATAAAATCGCTAGCAAGGAATCGCCTCTCGTGTTTTCATGAAATAAATGTTAATTGTTGTCCAGATAGATTTTGCATATTTGCCACAGCTCAGCTATGAACTACTCACAGAAAATCCTAAGAACACAATGTGAACATAAAATGCTACTGTCTGTTGTCTAAAGACACTTCAGTTTTACAGTGGGGGTGTTGATGCTTCCAACCTTTTTATTACCTGAAAACCCATCAACAGCTTTATAATGACAAATGCAACACAGTTCAATCTGTATTTGCAAAACTCACTTTTAAAAATGGCAGATGTGTGCTAGCACATCTGGAAACCACTTTTAATTATACTTTCCTCAAGTGGGAAAGCAGTAGCTTGTACCCATAGTGAAGCTTTTATATCTGACCACACAAATGCTAGCAACCACCTGTGCTTTACACTGATTTTCATTATAGAGTATATCACATTACTACCCTATTATTCCAGAACGACATTTGAAGCTGTTGTGTGACTAAGCTGCAGCAAGTGTGGTCTTGAAAAGGCCTCTACTCTACAAAAATGTAATAAACTTGATTGCAGTTAGGGTACTTACCGCTGAGGATATCACAATATGCATGCTCCTAATGTTGGCTTCTCTTGCTCTGAAAGTCATAAAAGATATACATTAACAATCATGATTACCAGTCTGGGAATTGGAATTTAGAAAACTAATGTATGCCCCCAAAATGAGATACCTTGCAAGTATTTGTAATTCCTTTCCAATATTTGTTTCTTTCCTACTATTAATACAGGAGTATTACAGTCAAATACTTTGCTTCTTCGGCCATGCTCTGAGATTACAAAATGCAATTTCAACTGCGATCTCTCAGCCTAACGGCATTTCAATTCCGTCATAAATATTTTCATAGGTTGCAAACATTGGGAGTTACATGACTAGGTTGGGCTTTCTAAACTTAACCTTCCTCCCCTATTCCCCTCTGTCCCACCCAAATGTAACAGCTTTTTTACATCACTGTTCCTCATTTCTGACAACAACAAAAAAAAGATGTTTCAGATGTCTGTGGAATCCTTTTCTTCTTTACAACACTCTTTTAATATTTTGGAAGAGTGTAATGTTGACACACAAAATTTTGTATATCGTAGTGGAAGGGAAAGGTTGAGCATTTGTAATGCTCAGCCCTTGGGAGACCCGGCATGCCCAGGACAGACTCGTCAGAAATGGACACCAGTATGTGTAACTTTGCAAAACGTAAAGTACACAATTTTACAGACTATATTTTAGGATAATTTGCTGTGCTGACCTGCACAATGTGCAGGCAACTGAAAAAAAACCCAAACATCACTTTAGCATAATTTAATCTGCTTATCAGTTACTATGCTTGAAAGAAAAGCTTCCACACTGTTACACAAAAAACCACATTCACCTGTCTCATATTTTCTGCCTTTAATTCAGGACTTAAGTTCTGTGGTAACTCATGAAGCCACAGAGGACCCCTCACAGGACTGAGCCCTCTCCCATTGCGCTGCCCACGTAACTTCACCGCGTGCTGCCGAGGGCTCTGGGACTGCAGCTGAAAGAAACTCGTCCCGCTTTGTGAAAGACTCAAAGCAGACCTCAGCCCAGGATCCCAAGACAGCCGCCACGCTCCGTGTCTACCAGGCAGAACAACAACCGATCTCTACAGTCGCAAGTACCTTGGCTTCGCTTCTGCCCTCCCACTGCTCTCCCCCCGCCACTACGCACAGCTGCACCGAGGCGCAGAAGCGTCCCAGTGCCGCTGTCTCACACCACCCAGGAGAGCTGCTGCTTCTGTGGCAGGCAGGACTCTGCGGGTCAGCAGAGAGGGAACAGCAAGTTTTGCTTTATTGTACCTTTTTTTGTCATCTCAGAGCATCCCACGTGACACCTGGTAGGCATTTAAACATTCACCCAACTATTATGCATTAAAATAATGTAGGGGGTGTTCACTGGGTTGTATATATAACTTTTGCAAAACTGTTCGTAATATTTTAAGAGATTGAATATGTTAACAGTCCATAACCCCGCTGCTGTAAAAGCATAACCTGACTTCACATTGCAAATACATTTATTATCTGTGCAAAGAAGGCATAATATTCATCCTCCTACTCTATAATCTGTGGTAACAATTTTAGATTGCTAAAAAAATTGTTCATTTCTGTGACTTGCTTAAACCTAAAAGAAAAAAGGATCGTGGTCTACTTCAAAATACAGGCACACTCTGGATGTAACTTGTTAAAGGTTTTCCAACTAAATACAGGGCAAACAAAGACTGAAGCACTCTACAGTACTCTGCAAAAGACAAAAATATGCTTTTTTTGTTTGAAGATGGAGGTATTCTGAAATCAACCTTACTGAAAGAAAATTATGTCTAATTATCAAAATAATGTGAATTCATTTCATCTTGGACATACACTATCTAAAGCAGCACTTCAATAGGGATACACGAGAAGCCAGGTAGATGCACTTTCTGAATTCTGCTTGAAATGGTGATACGAATTGATATAATCAAGGTCAGCCACAAGAGTAATTTTTAGATGGGGAGAAGGACGAGGGAAAAGACTGCAAATAGGCAAAATAAGCACTCGGACATCTGCTTCTTTACAACACAAGGAAGGCATGTTCAAGCCTTTTACTCAGTAAATCTTCCTCTTCAAGGAGTGCCATTGAAGACAACGAAGCTGCTTGAGGAAGGTGGCAATGCCAGTCACGCTAGTGCCGCCAGGAACTAAGGGGGAAGAGGCAGCTTTTGGCATCCCGGAGCAGCCAGGTCACAGGCTGCTGGATCCAAAGAGCTGCGAAGTCGGGAGGATTCTCTCTGCTGATTGCAACGGGCCCTAGATCAGCTCCTTGCTCTTATACATCTTTAACTATCCCACTCATAACGCTGTCATCATGAGCTTAAGGATGTGACTGGGAAGGAGAGCAGAAATGTCTTTGAAGTCATGAAATATATCCAGGATCCTGGATACCTGCCATTTTAAAACAGAGTTGAACGCACTCTGCCTTAGCAGCAGGTTAATGGTCTGGCAGCAAGAAACAAACAAACAGAGAAAAAAAAACCACCATGGATGCATCCTCCCTGCCTAACTCCCTCTGATTCCAGCCATTTTGGGTGCACTGGAGCCATACCCCCATAACTACCCAGACAGGCAGACCGCACGCCTGCAGCCACGCCGGAGCCTGCCCATCATGCTGCTGTCCCTGAGACCCACTGGAAACCAGCTCCAGGGCAAGGGGCTGGTGCTCGGGGCTGCACACATCTGCGAAAGGGAAAACACCTGGGCTTAGGTACAGGGTGTCGGGGAGACTGAGCAGGCAGAGGGATTACTCCTGGGAGCAGGGTACCGCTGATAAAGCCACAGCCGTTTTCCCCAAGCAGGGCTGATGTTGTGCCCATTCTCTCCTACAGCAAACTGACTGAAAATACTAAAAAGTCTTTGCAATCCTATTGGTCCTGCCAAGGGAGCTTGACTGGCAGGACAATACATGTTTGTTCTCAATTAAAAACATTATTTGGGTGCGGTAATTCTTTAAAAGCCAAGAGGAATATGATTTTGTGATTATAACCACAATTTGTCAATTGAAGCAAATGTTTTAAACTACCAAGGTTTGGTAGAGAAAGAAGAGAGAGGGAGTAATAACAAACACTAGTATGACTACATGTAGCCTTTATCCAGCCAGTGCAATTTTGCTTGTATTCTGAAATCACTGTAGCATAATCACAAACCAAAATCATAATTGTAGTGAAAAACCACATATGACATGCTGATATGGAGGGATTTCATTAGCACATTACATTACTGGATACTGCAAGTAGTCTGCCTGCTACATTCTCCTTTTCGTAAGAATACAGAGCAATCGTGGCTATTCTAATACAGAAAAATGGGAAGCAGAGCAAGAAAGAAATGGAGAGAATTTGTGTTAAATTGGATTTTCTTGTCTCCTCCTGTAGTTTTTATCACCCAGATGACAAAACATTATCATTAGCAGTTTATACCAAAAGTTAACATTTGCCCATCGTTTTCTATTTTCTCTAAACCACAAAGGTTGGAGCCTGTTATGCACTCCCCTTATCTTACTCTGTTACTTTAGAATCTAAGAGCGCACTGTGCACATTAATCTTTCATGGCAGAGTTCACTGAAGTTCTGCCAAAATTCAATAATTATGTTCCATCCAATGCAGCAATTTATTTATCTCATTGTTGGAATTTAGAACATATAGAACAAAGTGCTTAGTTTATATGAATGAAATGCTTGCTAAACCCTCCCCCCCACAAGACAAAACAAAACAACCCTGTTTCATTTCTAAAGTCTTAAAACACGCAGTAGAATCTTTTGAGGAAAAAAGCTATTTTTACAGGACCTCATGTTTTCTTGATAAACTGAGTGTTCTACAATATGTTTAGGGTTTTTTTTTTTTTCATATAAGTGAAAGTTTTTTATAAATACATTTGTAACTTTTATTCAAGTGTATAACAATATGTACCACTTACACTGCACCACTAAAACATGAAATATTAATGTCTAACGGTCATTAAAAATGCCAACTACAAAGCAAGAATTTGTATTTTAAATGGAGAATAAATTGGTTTGCTGCACTGAAATGGGTAACTGGGAGTTCAACAGTTCTATGGAGTAAAATCTAAGATACAAAATTACAACAAAGTTAAGCTTTATAATTGCAGTCTTTCATGATATGTTTGCAAACAAATAGAAAACAAAAAGCCCTCCAAGTAGGAAGATTAAAGATACGTTATTCCTGAGGGCTGTTAAAAATAAAAATGGCATAATGGAGAATACTTAATATCCTTCACCTTTTGTAGTCTCAGGAAAAGTAACTAACCAGTTATTCATCGACCTAACTGTAAGAAGAAACTTCAATCTACCAGTTTGGGATTTAAAAACAGAATATGGTGCCTATACATTTTAAACTTTACACTTAATACTTATGAATACAGAATGCTGATTTATCTGATGGAAACATGACTTCTTTGTATGTTCATACAGACAATACATTTCTTGATGAAGGAAAATGTTAATTTAGTGTCTGCAATCAAAAGCCAAATTTATAATGTTTTCAGTTTTTAAGCAAAACTCTCTGTTACCTCATATAGTAGATTTTACACTTCAGGCATGTTATCAGACAAAAATTGACTCTGGATTTAGAAACTGCTCACAAAGTTTTTGGAGCGTAACTTGCTGTGATTTATAACACAACCCTTCACCAACCAAAACAGAAATGAAAACCTCTAGAAGTAGTGCACTAACATGTGTTCATTATTTCACCGTAAAACCTTCTCAGTAAAAGAGGGAATATCACAGTAAAACATTTTAAAGTTAGTTTTGCAGTAACTAGATGTGTATATGCATATTTTAAATTAACTGTACCTAATTCAGTAACTCAGGAGAAATTACTTCCACGCACCAGCAAATAGATTCCATAACAATTTGCGAAAATTCTACTAACACATTTACTTTTGCGCCCAGTATGGTCATTTTCTGGCAATGCTTTACATTAAAATAGGATTCAACTGTAATGTATTTTTCCCTGTTGTAAAACTTTTTAGAAATCCCAGAAAAATGCAATTAAGTCCTATCCATTTTATTTTACTAATGATGTTCTCCTTCTACTTTCTTCAACATGCTAATCTTGTCTGCTTTCTTTCATTGTAAATACAATGTGTTACAGTTAAACTCGTAGGAGACTTTCGAGAATTGTAACTCAGTCTCCTGCAACGTAACAATGAACAAACTCTCCCAGGCAAGTTATATGAAAGTACAGATACTGAAGAGTCTATAAAGCTCGAGTTTTTTCCCCAATCTAGCTATATGTCTTTCATTATGTAATAAAGGAAACACACACACACACATACACCTTACAGAAAATGTACGGTTTAACAGAAGAAAGACAATACCTGTAAAGCCATTTTAACAGCAGGGACTACTGCAAAAGGGATCAAGGCTGGGGGGGCAGGGGAAGGTGCGAAAAGGCTGTTCCACATTGATATTGCTCCTGAAGTATGGTATTGCTTATAAGCAAACAACACATACAGGAAGAAACGAGCAACTCCTCGGCTATAGCCACAAGTGCTGTTATGTAAAATAAAAATACCTAACAAAAATGCTGCCTAACGCATTTTGTCTTTACATTGAATGCACACGGAAAAGACACTAGGGTAGAGTATACACAGCATGTAATCGGAGGTCCTTAATTTCCAATTGCTGGGTTGCTTTGTTAAATACAGATTAAATTCACAAAACGTTCAAGTGTACAATAATAATGTATTCACTTACAGTGCCAGACTTGTTTATATAATATCAGCGAGGAATAATCACGCATTTATTGCAGTGATGATCTCCACAAGTTTTGAAACTCTGAGCACACTTGAAATGTGAACTTTCACAGCTCCTTATTAATGTTTAGACTAACTCCCTTTCCCCCTTTTAAACAACAAAGGACAACGCAGCTCCTGCTCCCTGTCTCACAGATCAGACCCATACCCAGACTTCAAGGAATCGGGATAAATCCAAAGGCACATCCGAGATTTTCCTTGCAAATTTCCCCCCAGTGGATCTAGGCATGTATTTTTTAAACAGTTATATCAAAAAGCTTCACTCACGCAATTCAAACAAAGAAACTTCTCGAAAATGTCATTACTTACTGTTCACTGAGCATAATTTACTGAGATTAAAAGTTTAAAGATTCATCTGCTTTACGTCCACAAGGGTTTTAAGCAACCCCTAATACTGTATCCTGCTTAAATGTGACAATTAGGGCTGCTTTGGCATGTTGAAAAATATAAAGGTACCAAAGATCCTCATTATGCCTTAGCTCCCTGTAGCCTGGTTTTTGGAGGTGCGTAAGCTGCGGAAATTCAGTATGATAATAGCAACAATTTGGTACACGAGGAAAAAACAGACACACACACACACACACCCCTGAATGCTTCAGATATACTGTATAAAGTCATTTTGACATGCCTACACAACTGGTTGTGGCAGCTTTCAGACATGATTCCTAATCACAAAAAAATGCTTCAGGTTCTTTTAGAGAAAGCTTGCCGTTGGGAAGTTGATTTTGGCCAAGTGCCAAAATCATGTGCAAAAGGGGCCCTCATTACCAATTCATGGCAGCCTTCAGCGCTGACAAAAAATGTGACCCAACAGGCTAAAGCAACAACTAAAATTAAAAAGTATGAGACAAAGACAACTTACTTAATATTCCTTCCATCGCCACATTAAACTTTTCCGTAATTAAACCCTTGTTAGTTCAAAGCAGTTTTCAACTACTTTTAAATGATTGCACAGGCAGTCAGTAACAGTTGAAAGCTTTCCCTGTAAATTCTTCCCAGCTACTCCACTTTTAACAGCAGTTGGGTCCGACAGCAGAACTTTCTGCTGTGCGCCTCTGCAAGAAACCCCTTTCCAACATGAAGCGAGGCGCCCGCGCGTATTTCAGCGAAAACTAAGCAGATCATTACAAGATTTTGCAAGCGTTAAAGGCATAGGAGGAGTGAGGAGGGGGGAGGAGAGAAAGGGCTCGGTACACGGGAGCAGCTATTTCCTAAACTTTCTGAAAAAGCTTATCAAAACGGGCATGCAAACATTAAGCAATCGCAATTAACAGCGCTCGCTGCACCACTATCCCATAAAAGCAGATTTGATACACGGCCTTACCTAGATGTCGTCTGGCTTTTCTGTGGATCAAAAAGTTTCCTGCCTAAGCACAGAGATATTCTTTCACAAACCATAAAGGCCCCTTTTATTAATCCAGCACTGTAACAGCCCGCTTTCTACACCACGTTGAGAGCAGGATGCGTCAGCTTTCGAGAGAAAAAAGTCTTAATACACAATTAGTGGCAGATTGTATAATAGTGGATTTATCTTAAAGAGTGAAAAGGCATTTTTTAAAAAGCAAAGAGGGTGCGGTCAGATGTTAGGCTATCCCTGAGAAAAGGGGCCTAGGCTGCACTAGTACCTAAATACTAGCAGAAGCTTACTGGGAAGGGAGCCAATGGAATGACTTTGTTTGACCCAGCTGCCAATCTCTCCTGAAGCACTGCGCCAGACTAAACACTGACACTATTTTAACTCAAATCAGGCTACAGCAGCTGTTTGCTTTCCGGCTCTCAGCTATGCACCATGGCCATGATGACTCTGCACAGCACATATGATAGAGCTGGGGCACTTCTGCTAAAATATGTTCCATGTTTGGACTGGTGGTATAGAAGCAGGGGCTGGGGGGGCTGCTGTTTTGGGGGTTTCTTTCTTCCTTTTTTTCTTCTTTTTTTTTTTTTTTTTTAAACATCCCTGCCTCCATTTTCCCCAAAGCAAAATAAATATGAGGTTTGAGGCTCGCAGAAAATTCGGCATTGTGAGTCAGGTGAAAGGAGAGAAGTTACTGCTTGGGACTGACAAGAACCAGAATATATTATAAAGGTGTGCACGTGCATGCATGACTCCAAAATCCAGCTACAACCTGAAATTATTTATTTTCCTCTTGCTAGTTGCTCTAAAATTGTTCAGCATAAAAATAATCAACAGATTCTCCCTCTCACTCATTTTTCACTGTAAAATGAAAGAGTGAGAGTGTGTGCATATATGTATGTAAGAAAGCAGGCATTACATGTGTGCATACATGCACACATTTACATATGCATCCAGATTCTCATCTAAATTACACCAGTGCAAATTGCACTGTAGGCAATGAAGTTATTACAGGTTAAAACTGAGGGTGGAATTCGATAGCCAATTTACATATGAAAGTATATGAGACTGAAAAAACACATAAGCATTATTAGTAATAAGTATATGGCAAGGAGGTTGGCATGTCTTTTCTAATTCAAAAAAAGTCAAAGAAGAGTTGCAGCAACAGAAACAAAGCGCATACAGATGTTAAAATCCAATGTAGGCTTCTGAAGTACTGGGCGTGCAGCACAGTCCTACACGCAACACAGCGCCTACAGTATTGCAGCATTTGTACCTAAACTCAGGCACAGTACTTAAACCAAATCTTTGTTTCCTCTCACCCTGCCATGGAGTGTTGCTGGCTATTCCCAAAAACTGCATGTCATAATTTCCTTGTTCAGTAAAAAAATCAGAAGAATACCTCCACCTAAAACCAAAAGGCATAGAGAGGGAACCCAACCCTTTTTATTTAATATAAAAGTGTGAGACTTATCCTGATATGGGGTAAAGGACAAGGGGAAGGTCTGGCTCCTGACATCTGAATGCCTTCAAGAAACACTGTTGCGTATCTCAAATTCAGTATTAATACTCAACAGAGATAATGGGGGGAAAAAAAAACCAAAACAGAAATGGAAAACAAAATAAAATAAAAAAAGAAAAAAAATAATATCTAAACCATGAAAGCGGAGCCTGTTGCTCTGTCTTAGGCTGTTGTGCACCGACCGATTTCCATGAGCTGTTCAACAGCCTGCTACCAAAAACCAGTGGAAGTCATTGATATTGCACAAGCTCAAATCTCATTAACTACCTGCCCCTCTCACTGGTCCTCAAGTATATTAACAGTTTAAGAAAAGATCCTGGAAAGATCTTAAATAATCCACCATAAAATGAATAAGGATTACAAATGAAATAAGTAATGGTTAGCACAACAACTGTCCAATGTTCCTATCTAACATAAGAACTGAAATGGAAGAGGAGACCTGCATTATGTCTGAAACACCAAGAAAGAACATGCAATTACATTTACGCTAAGGAGGAAGTTACAAGAAAGACAGTTACCTACACCTGAGAAGTCCGAAATCTTAAAATGGCAGACAGGTGGGACAAAGCCAACTGTTTTTACAGTCCCTCTCTTCTCTCTCTAAGGAGCACAGCAAGCATTTATCATGAGATGAATTTGCAGGCCCCCTAAAGAAAATGAGACTCCTCAGCAAGGAGAGTGTGTGCCCTGTGAATTCACACCTTGTGTTGCACCAGACAAGAAAGGCAATACTGCAGCGATAGGTCTAGAAAGATATTAACAACACTGAACTTAGCAATGCTGGAAAAGAACAAAAGTACAAGATAAGAAACAAAACGTAGGCTGGAGTGAAGCTTTGCCAGCTCCTTGAGGCAGAAAAGAAGGTAATATGGCCAGATCAACAGACAGAGAATTTACTAACAATGTTACTATGGAACAATGTTGTTCTCAGTGAAGCCAGCAAGGAACTTATCCAAGACAGGACAAGATCAGGATGTGGATAAACGATGGTGGATAGGCACTTAAAATACTGACATAAAAAAGACAAGACTATACACTTAAAGGTGGAACACAAAGGCTTTTCATTCAAATACAGTATAATTAGCAGAAAGCTCATGCAACCTTCTCCTTCTTGGAAAGCTAACTGAAAAAATTTATTCCTGTTTCGGTTTGTGAGGGTGGGTCCTCCTAGTGTCATTTTGATTTGTAAGTTAAATACTCTTGTCATAATTGCTCCAGGGCGGCTGCGGGAGAGGAAGGTGGTATCTGGCATTTCTTTTGCTTTTAAATGAACTTTTGTCAGCCTTAGGCAATGCATGAAGAAACATAGGGAAGCACTGGAATAGGTAACTAGTAGAGCTTTGCTGATGAATACAAATCTCTTTCCTTCTAGAAAACTGTGTAAAATTCTTATTATCTTATAAATGAAGTATTAGTACAGCTAAGCATATTTGCAGTTCCTGTTGTAGAAAATCTCTGGTTGGTCCTAAAAGGGTTCTCTGTTAGAAATAACACATTCATTCTTTTTACCTTGATTTTGAGGTTAGGGAGCTGAGTGTGCATGTGATTACACTGTGTGCATCTATGCCATCTAAAATCACTTCAAATCATTGGCCAATGTTGATCAAATTTAAGATCAGAGGTTTCAGGTGTATTTTTGAGAAACTCAGTAGCTTTGAGATCTCCATCCCATATCAAATATAGGTCAAATGAATGGAGGAGAGAAATTTTGTTGGCATCCTCACAAGCAAATAGGGAAAATCTGTAGAAGAAAAAGACCTTCTAACTGCTTCATTACTTCACAGTAAAAACTTCCATCAGACCCACACACTGTTTTAAATATCAAAGTTCAATTAACCTCAAGAAATGAATCCATAGGAAATAACCTTCACTGGTCATGAACTACCTTTGTTTTGTTGGGAGCTGGTAGAAAGCATATTGGACATATCGTCCAAAGGCTTTTTTTGTTTGTTTTGCTTTTTAGTTTCAGCTACTAAATTGGAGTGACTTCTTTTTGCCCTCTTTTCTTCTATGTTTAGTACCATAATTTTGGCCCACTACTTTATGACCAAATGATTCCTTACTTCAAGTCAATTGTAAATCTCTAATTGATTTCAAAGGAATCAGGATTTTATCCTTTTCATCCCCAAGCCATGAGCATATTGCTAGAGGGTCCCAGAAAATTATGCATGTAGAGCACTGTGCAGCAAGCACTGTGAGGTGATTAGTAACTTTCAGCTTCCACTTGTGCATCAGCTGCTTCTGGAAGAGACGATGGCCAAAACTATGACATAACATTGCCATTCATATATGCCACTCTGGCATCGGAGACTGAGCTCCTACAGTGCTGTGCTGTTCACCTACTGAGCCTTCCACTATCTGAATTTTCAGTAACTATCACTGCTAGGCTGGAAGCTTTTCAGCAGTAAGAATCACTGGGGGCAAGAGGAAAAAAAAGAAATTAAACATAGGACAAAACTTGCATTTCAGTATTTCAGCTACTTCAGGTGGGCAAGTTAGATTTTTCTAAAACCAAAGCTGACTTCAAAGAACTTTATTTCCCCACCTACTCCGTTAATACATCACACACCACTAATTTTATTAATACGTTTAATTTATAATATGCTTATTTTAAACTGGAATAAAATGGTAAAATACAAAGGCAGAAAGAAAGGAAAGGAAAGGAAAGGAAAGGAAAGGAAAGGAAAGGAAAGGAAAGGAAAGGAAAGGAAAGGAAAGGAAAGGAAAGGAAAGGAAAGGAAAGGAAAGGAAAGGAAAGGAAAGGAAAGGAAAGGAAAGGAAAGGAAAGGAAAGGAAAGGAAAGGAAAGGAAAGGAAAGGAAAGGAAAGGAAAGGAAAGGAAAGGAAAGGAAAGGAAAGGAAAGGAAAGGAAAGGAAAGGAAAGGAAAGGAAAGGAAAGGAAAGGAAAGGAAAGGAAAGGAAAGGAAAGGAAAGGAAAGGAAAGGAAAGGAAAGGAAAGGAAAGGAAAGGAAAGGAAAGGAAAGGAAAGGAAAGGAAAGGAAAGGAAAGGAAAGGAAAGGAAAGGAAAGGAAGGAAAGGAAAGGCAAACAAACACCCCCACTCCCAACCAGGAATACATGCTATACTTTCTCTTAAAAAGTGAGAAACATAAATAAGTTCAAGAGACAGTCACCTATTAGTGATGAAATGGAACCTAGATGCTAACAGCTGAGAAGAAACTTGCCTCAGAAACTTGATTGCATAAATATCTTTCATGAAGGATTTTCACAATACGCTGAGTAAGCCAGTGCCCACCACACCACTACCAACAGTAGTGCATTAGACTTTTCTGTTCCATGTCGCTGGGAAAATCTAGTATTGCCATAGCACATAGACATCTTTTAAACAAGAGCATAGAACATGGCAGTGACTTTTGTAGCTACGGAATTAGTTTAATTCAGACTCTAAAATTAGTCTTACACAATCTCATCATCTCCAGATGCTCCTTTATACTCATAAATCCAATAAAATGTTTATATTGTCCCATGCAAAGGGGTGAATGCCTGCTGTGGATTGTTGCTCCAAGGCAGCAATAACTTACTATGTCTTTTCTGTAGCAAGTTGCAGTGGTTTTTTGAAGTACAATCTATAGACATTTGCTCTTTCCATCACACCTCCCACATTTCCACAAGCCACAACATATTTATGCTTCAAGACATCTTCTGGAACAAATCAGTTTTAGTTTTGAATGAGAATACAACATGACATGAGACAGATATAGCTGGGGTTTCTCT